AAATTATTTAATTAATTAGAGTGGATCTTTTCCAGAATGAAGAGTTCATTAATATTTACCTCAAAATATTCACTGATTGATAAGCTGCATCCAAAATTACATGCATTTGAGAAAGTTGTTGGAAAAAATATTCATGTTTTAGAAAATGTTATAGAAAAAAATTCATACAAAAGGGTATAGCAGAGGCTATATACTGTTATAAAGCCACAAGATTACAAAGTCATAAAAAGGGAGTTTTTAAAGAGTTTTTTTAAGTAATAAAAAATTTGATAGAGCAGGTAAAATTCTTGAATACATGCTAGATTTGTACTATGCTATATCCCATCTTAAAATATATTGCCTTTCTATAAAATGAAAGGTTTATTTAATTTCAAAATTTAAAAAGCTTTTGGTTGTGTGTGTGTGTGTGTGTATGTGTATGTGGGTCTAAGTATATATATACTTAGACCCACATACTTATATGTGTATAAAACATTTTATGTACCTTACATTTCCACTGATATTTCAGTACCAAAATCAACAAAATTGACAGCACACTTGAAAGTATATGTCTCTTAGTAAAGTCTTTTTTAAACTTTTATATGACGTAGTCTTCTACCTTATGGGCATATTGCCCAAATATTCTGCAAATAGGTAGTATAATAGGAATAATTTATTAAAAGGAGTGACATTCTTTTATTTGATTCAAGTCTGCTTTTTCTGCTGAATAGGAATAAGAAATGCTATAGAAGTATGTAACTGCTTTTAAAACATTAGAGATACAGATTGTGAAGTTCGTTCTAGTGAGACACAGAATTTAAACAGTGTGAAAAGTGAACTGTCAAAGACATCTGCCATGTTAAAACTTGTACCAAGCTAAATACAGCAAAATAAAAATTGTAGCAAAATTCACACCCCAGCTGCCATGACTCTCAACACTGTTGATCCCATTGCTGGCAGATATATTTCGTAAGATAAAATTTACAGACAGGACATGGATAAAAATCAAATAATGCCTAATTATAAAATAGGAGAAGATGATGCAATAGTATGAAATGAACCATGCCAATGTTTACGATATAATAAAAATAACAACACAGCTAGGTATTTTTTTCCTCTTATTATACATCTTGAATAGTAAATTTGGTCAGGAATAATTTGTTATTTGCTTGTAATTTTAGTGTTCACCTAAAATTATACTGATACTTAATTTATGCATTTTACTACCTATTGTCACTTAACTCTATCAGATCAGCTACATAGATTCTAATTATTTTTTGTGCTTTTTAACAGATTTACACTGTATAGGAAATAGTTTTGACTTTTTTGTGCAAAATGCATGTATCTCTATATGAGTAGATATAATAATGCAAGTTGAAAGCTAAGATGCATAACAATTGTATACTGTGCATATTCATCTTGCTTCACAAAAGAGAGAATCATACAGAATTTAAGATATGTCTCGTATAGAACTCAGCAGAAATGTTGTTTAACAGCCTCCATAAAGGAACATAATGGTTGAACTAGGCCCAGTTTCATTTTTTAACTTCAGTTCAGTTTTGGTCTGTTTCTTGTCTTAAAATCCTATTAACATTATGTTCTAAATATTAAAGCTTTTGTTCAGTTTCCTTACTTAAACTCATCCAAAATTCTCTATTCATGAGCTCATCCTTCAACTGAAATGTCAACTTTGACTTCTTGAGCCTAAGAAACAAAAAGTAAACTTTTTTTTTTAAAGAAAAGCTTCAGTCCAGTTTGGGTTTCTTGTATATAGTCTGCACCACAGATAAAGTTGACAGCTGAGGCAAAATAAACCCTTTATCTAGTGCATGCATAATTATCTCAGTGTGAGCCCAGGAGAAAACTTGCAAATAAATAATTACTGTTGACATTGCCCACCAGTTTCAAAGTAAGATATATCCAGTTACCGTTTAGAGTTTAATTTTTTTAAACAGCAAAAGAAAAGACATGACACGATTATATAATTCTGTTACTCTATAATGCTTCTATAATGGATGGTTAACAAGACTGTTCTATTTCCATTATTTTACACAGGTTAGGATGAGTTGTATAATGTATGCATCAATAAATAAAACAGCCATATTCCTGAAATCCAGCAGCAACCTAGAGATTAATACAGAGGGAAAGGGGCTGATTAAGGAGTAGTTGGTTTAAGCCCAAGCACTAGAGATGAATATAGCAACATGAACACCCACAGCATGGATTTTCCAGAGATAATGACATTCATATCCAAATCAAAGGTTTAAAGGACTTTGAGTTTCACAAAGCCATTTTTCCAGCCATTTGTCTATTTAATTTAATTTAATTTAATTTCAAGGCCACCAAACTCTTCAGTGTTTTTCAACAACATACTGTATATCAAACGTTCTGTTTTATACTGTATGAACTTGTGGGGTTTTTTTTGTATTTCTTAAATAATGTAGGAAAAGAATGTATGCATGCTAAGAACATTAGACAACAGTGAGTTGAAATCAAGGTCAGTGTATCCATCTAGTCATTGTAAACTCATGTCAGATCTTGGGTAGAAAAGATCCTGTCTGCTAAATGTCTACAGAGATTCCGAGTCATCTAGGCCATGGTTGTCCTAAAGGTGCTTTTCAAAAGGTAACTGGAGTTTGTTTTTCCTTAAAGATGTTTTGATTCTCATACAAGAAGCTTCTTCAATTCAAGTTCAGAACTGAAGAAGCTTCTTGGATGAGAAGTGAAATGTCTTCAAGGAAAAACAAAACCCCGTTGCCTTTTGAAAAAGCACCTTGAGACATCCTATCTGTTAATTAAGTTCTGGCTGAACAGGAGAGATCCACCACCAATCCCATTTTATTTACATATGGGGTTGCACAACCCACAGATAAGGCTGGGTTTTTCTGAGCATTCCTAAGCTTATATTGCCAACAAATGTAACAAAAGTTACATTTTAGGGCAGCGGTTCTCAACCTATGGGTCGCGACCCCATTTGGGGTTGATCGACCATTTCACGGGGGTCGCCAAGCAAGGCTGTCCGTCATTTTTTTGTCCATTTTTTCCCCTTTTCCGGCGGGTGCCTTACCTCCCTTGGGCTGGGCCAGCTGGTGGTCGGCCTGCTCCGTCTCTGCCGCTTGCCAGCTACGCCTCGGCCGGCGCAGGGGGCGGAACCACGCATGCGCGGTGCTCCCGGGCAGGGAAAGTCCTCGACTTACGACCAGTTGGGTAGTCCTCGACTTACGACTGGTTTAGTCCTCGACTTACGACCGGTTTAGTCCTCAACTTACGACCAGTTTAGTCCTCGACTTACGACCGGTTGGGGGTCGCGGCATTAAAAAGGTTGAGAACCACAGTTTTAGGGGCATGATTTCAGTTAGGAGGAAGTGGAAGTAGTTTGCCTTCCAAACTCTTCCAAAGTTTTAAAAAAGACTGGAAAAAATCAACATTTTTAAGGACTTTACTGCAGGTCTTAAAATGTGTTCATTCCAATCCTTAAACCCACCTAGAAAAGACAGCAAGAAGGAAACTGAATAACCATTAGCTGCTGTCAGTATACAGTTTAGGAAAATTGCTAACCAAAAGCTGAAGTATCCATTTTACTGGGAAATGGAGCTAATTATTTAATATGAAATGAATTTACATTATCAATCCTCAAGAAAATATGGCTTGGACTTTCATTGGGACTTTTAATAGTTAACTTCACCAAGTTTTATCTTTAAGTATACCTCTAGGAAACTGTGCAACAACAGAACTAGAAAATCTTTGATCTGCAGCAGATATTTTCTAAAACTTTTCCTCCCCCACCCCAAATGTGATTATGCTTTATTGAAATAATATTTTTGGAACATGAGTATATTTCTAAGGTCCTAGATATCCAAAGAAAAGGTTTCTGAATATAGCCTGCTTTTTTGCACAAGGTGAATTGTCCCTCCTTTCCCTTCCTTCTTTTGTGCAGCAAAAGAAAACTATATTGTGATTTAATATACAACCAAATGATGTTTACCTCTGCTGTAATGGATGCTATTGTGCCCTTCCTTTCTTCTTACCTTTAATCCTATTCTACAAAGACATGCAAATAAAGCAAGTATTCCAAATACAAAGTTTATCATCTGCAAAAAACAGGTGTAACAAAACTTTTATTTTAGAGAGAGAGTTTTGAGAGAAGGTCCTTGAGGACTATATTGTTTTCTTGAATAAAAATATACATTTGTAAAAAAAAAATACCAGCAATAGGCTTGAAGTGAATTATAAAGAAATTGATAAAAGATTTACTCTAACACTGAGCATGCAAAGGAATAAAGCTTCACCCATTTCCTAATTAAATGTGTTATTAAAAGAGATTCTATAAATCAGAAAGAGAAGAAATCAGGCTTTTTTCTCCCTTTCCTTTCCTCCTTGCATTCTCCTTTTTTATCTTTTATTTAAGCCTACTGTGGAAAATCTATAAAATAGAAATATTTTTTCAAGTTTTTCTGTCACAATGGTTCTAGCACAGATCTGATCCTTAGTCTATAGGGAGAAACAAAAATTCATTTCAAACTATTGATAGAAAACAGTGCCTAAGGCTGCCTATATAACTTGCTAACAGAAGAAAGAGTATTTGGAGTCCCATTTTTCTACTTGTCAGTTTCTAAAGCAACAGGTATGGGCAATATATCCTAGGGGACATAATTGGAGCATGTCTGAACTATAAAGTGACAATTTGCTTCTGATTGGCTGCAACATCATCAGAGATTTGGGCTTCTAAAGATGGACATGTTTTGAAAAAGTTCATTTCGTGGAATCTTGCAGGATATTGCAGTTTCAAAATAGACAGCCAGCTGAAACTATGATCCACCCAGGCAGTTGCAGCCCCATACTCATATAACCTGGAGTCTATGCCCGCTATATGTATTGTGGCATGGACCTAGTCCTCATCCTATTTATGTCATTATAAGAATGCAACACATTGGGCTCTGGTGAAAAGCACCTTTTAGCTTCTTAAACAGAATTTCTTTTCAAAGACTAATATAGTGTTTTGTTTTGTTTTTCTTGCACAGGTAACAAGTTCTGGATCTTTAAGGACACCACCCTCCAGCCAGGGTATCCTCATGATTTAATATCATTAGGAAGTGGGATTCCTCCTCATGGTATTGATTCAGCAATTTGGTGGGAGGATGTTGGGAAAACCTACTTCTTCAAAGGAGACAGGTTAGTGTGTTCATTCTGGAAACAATCATACTATTCACATGGCTTGTTGTTCTCCTTCATTATTAGTGTTAATATGTATTCAAAAATGTGGAATATTTATTTAGTTGGACTTGCATGATTTTATTAAAAGCATAGCAATCCAATTTTTAGAAATGGAGCCTTTACTCCAGAGTGTACAATTGTGTGGATGGAAAACAGGCAGCATTTTGGAAGCTGAAATGCATTATTGCTATCAACTTCTATGATGGACAAACTGTTTTATAATTTGCTTGTTATGGATGTGAATATTATTTTAAGTATATATTGAACTGAACAATTTTCAGTCCACAGGCTTTGGGGACTATTTAAATGGTAGGCATCCTGGTTGCATGTTTGAAATTCAAGGTATTATAGATTTGATTTTTTTTTCCATTGGCAGCTTTACTAAGTTAAGTTCTTCTTAAAAAATACTATGATGATGAAGAGAAAGAGAGAAAAACTGTACCCCAAAAGGAAAAAACCCAAAGTAACAGAAAAACTTCTGTTGATAGGAAGGTTACTTTTTAGATCCAGAACAAGCACAATGAGACCCAGCAGGTCATAAATGCAATACAGCATATAAAGAAGCAGATTTGAAAAATGTGAACCATGCTAAGATAATTGAGCTATTACAGGATATTGACCACTTAGTGGGAATAAGTCCCTATCACACTAAGCTTCTCAGCACATATTGTTTATATCCTTTTTTTACTCCTTAATGTAATATAGGTTGAATTCTCCCACTGGTTTTAATTGCACATATAAGCCTCTTACAAAGTTCATTCTGAACTGAGAACAACCCACCGTTGCTTCTTTAGCTGCGATGATTTGGTAGGCATAAAAAAGTGAGGCAAAAGGTGATAACAAAGCCAAAGGAGGAAAATTGTCTTCCTGCAAAAGCTGTGAAAAGGTGTTATAACCTCCCAGGAGAAAGATAGACCTGAGAAACTGTACAGTATTGCTGGATAACATTTTGACTTCAATCTCTGAGGAATGTGTTGGGAATAGATTGTGGCACCAATCTGCAATACCTTAAACTAGCAGCATCTTTTCCTGCTGCTTCCTGCGAAAAAAATGAAGACATTGCAGATTATGTTGGAAGTGCTACACAGCTTTTCAACACAAAGAGGATGAACAGACAGATGGACAGAGGGACAGACAGACAAGCAAATTCCAAAGAATCAAACAAATGCAAGAACATGTTCCCTGCATAAATCTTAAGTTTATTCAATTAAAGCAGGAGGCAGACATTTGTGTCTATGTACCTTTTGAATTTTTGTGATTTCAATTTGTTATTCCTCTGCCTCTTATTGGGTTGTTTTGCATTTTGTGATCATGGTAGTCACCCCCATTCTCCTTCCCATTATTTTGGGGTCCTGCAAAGACTGTGACTATGAATGCTAAACACTGAGGTCACTATTTTTAGCTATTTCAAAGAAACATATAAGAACTGTATTGTACACTATAAAATAGGCATAATAGAGTTATAAAACAAGGGACAAGAAACCCAGTCTCCGCAAGTAACATTCACTTATGTGTATTATCTTATCTGCTATCCAAACCATGTTAAATATGATTGATCCTTGATCAAGTCATACATATCTGCTTTGCAGCTACTTGGCTGACCGGCTGTACTCAGCATGAGGTCCTCAATGGAACTGAATCTACATGGAGGGAAGTGTCTAGTGGGGTGCCCCAGGGCTCTGTTCTGGGCCCAGTGCTCTTCAACATCTTCATCAATGATTTGGATGAGGGGATAGATGGGGAACTCATCAAATTTGCAGATAACACCAAGCTGGCAGGAATAGCCAACACTCCAGAAGACAGGCTTAAAATACAGAGGGATCTTGACAGACTCCGACACTGGATGCTATCTAACAAAATGAAATTCAATGGTGGAAAAAGTAAGGTTCTACATTTAGGCAAGAAAAACCAAATGCACAGGTATAGTATAGGTGGTACCTTGCTCAATAATAGTAACTGTGAGAGGGATCTTGGAGTCCTAGTGGACAATCACTTAAATATGAGCCAGCAGTGTGCTGCAGCTGCCAAAAAAGCCAACACAGTGCTAGGCTGCATTAACAGAGGGATAGAATCAAGATCACGTGAAGTGTTAATACCACTTTACAATGCCTTGGTAAGACCACACTTGGAATATGCATCCTGTTTTGGTCACAACAATGTAAAAAAGATGTTGAGACTCTAGAAAGAGTACATAGAAGAGCAGAAAAGGACTGGAGGCTAAAACATATAAGGAACGGTTGCTGGAATTAGGTATGTCTAGTTTAATGAAGAGAAGGACGAGGGGTGACATGATAGCAGTGTTCCAATATCTCAGGGGTTGCCCCAAAGAAGAGGGAGTCAAGCTATTCTCCAAAGCACCTGAAGGCAGGACAAGAAGCAACGGATGGAAACTAACCAAAGAGAGAAGTAACCTAGAACTAAGGAGAAATTTTCTGACAGTTAGAATAATTAATCAGTGGAACAACCTGCCTCCAGAAACTGTGCATGCTCGAACACTGGAAGTTTTTAAGAAGAGATTGGACAGCCATTTGTCTGAAATGGTATAGGGTTTCCTGCCTGAGCAGGGGGTTGGACTAGATGACCTCCAAGGTCCCTTCCATCATCATCATCATCATCATGCCTGTATATAATGAAAGGAATGTTTGGTCTCCCAAAACCTAACATTTTTTTGTATTCAGAATTACTGCTCAGTAAATAGCAAGGGAAAAATACTGAAAAATCTATAAACCAATCAGTCATATTATATAAATCACTGAATTTTGCTCATTTTATTTTTATTCATAGTAACTACCTGACATTCTATGGATCTTTTCATTTTTCTGTGTGCATAGGAAAAAATGCCTACAACAGGTTTTTTTCAGTTGTTTTAATTCATGCAAAAATAAATTCTTATCCACAATGTCTCAAAACATTTATTGAATATAATGGAAGTGCTAAGACTCTGAAATAAGACCTATTAAAAACTTAGAGAGTTACTTTGATCAAATATGCCTCAAATTACTTTCAAATATGAGCATTTTAAAGTGCTATGTATACACACCACACCCCTTTGCATATAAATCAAGAAATCACATCACCGAGTTAGGAAGAAATAAATGTGGGCATATTGGTGGAAATGCATTACTGCATTTCAGTCCAGGGAAAGGGATTACAGGGTTTTTTTAAGGAAAAAAATGTTAATTATTTTTTTCTATGAAATGTTTCTTAGCAAATTGAACTTTTACATGGAACTTCTCCCAATGTACATGGATACTGACAAAGAATCTCTGTAGAAGCTTTGATTTAAGTGTTTCTCTCACACAAACATGTATACTCGACTGGATGTTGTCATCAGTGCTACAGCAGAGATCATTTTTTGCTTATTACACAAATCCACTAATTTAGAAATCAGTGTAAATATCAAAGTCAATGTTACTAGCCCCATTGCCACCATTTAGCATAATTTGGTCTGTAGCTTGAAACTGAATATGGTATTTGTTCTGATTAAGATTTCAGAGCTACTTGCATGTAGATATCCATACTCTTAAGCCAATCAGAAAAGCAGGGCTGTGCTCCCAGTTAATAAGGCAGTATATCTTCTTAAGAACTGCATACATAAGGTGTATTGCAAATTTATTGAGAATAAGACTAAATACTTTCAGTTACAAATTGCATTCTTACTGTATGTATACCAGATGCAGATAGCCATACATAAATGTGGAAGAATGAATATATAGAATACACAATTTCTGATATGCACTTGACGCCAGGAATAATCCTTTTTAATAACCGTGGGAAAAAAGGTATAGGAATAAAAAATAACTCCTTTTTAAAAATATAAATAATTTAGAAAAAATGTTTATTAAGAAAATTCCATATATTTCCTTGTAAATAATGATATTTATTTCTGAGCTATGTATGCATAAGACTGCAATCTGATTTTCTTTTTATTTTTAAATATGTATGTTCTGTTCATGAAGTGTTATTTCCTTATAAATTAAGATATGTAAGGAATCTAGCAGCTTGAGCTGATAAATATTGCACAATGGAATTTTAAAAAGACTAAAAAGTACAGCATAGAATTAGAAGTGCTAACTCAAAATATGATTAAAATGTTGAATAAAGTATTGATATAGTATTGATATAGGTTATCATAACTGTTTTGATTATATAAAACCACTCATTGATTTGGTTCTCAGGATAGATTAATCTTTAATGAAATATATATTAAATCATCAAATGTTTAAATGTCTTTATTACTAGTTAGGAGTATATATTTAAATAGAAGTGACCAGGTTCCCTAATGTTATCATTTCACAGAGTACTTCATTTCAGACACTGAAAAAAAAAGCATCCATAAACGTTATTTTAACCTCATTCTTTCTCTCAGGTATTGGAGATACAGTGAAGATATAAGAACTATGGACACAGGTTATCCCAAATCAATCACAATCTGGAAAGGTATCCCAGAATCACCTCAGGGAGCCTTTGTTCACAAAGAAAATGGTATGTAGCTTCCTGTGAACACAAATGTTTGCTCCTTCCTTCCTTCCTTCCTTCCTTCCTTCCTTCCTTCCTTCCTTCCTTGTTCACACATCATTTATTCAAATGGTTCTTTGTTACTTAAATGTGAACTCCATAACAGTACAATAAATACATTTAAGATATCTGATAACTGGAATTGCCCCAAGGTCTTTTTAATATAAGGCATTGTATTAATACTCAGGTTAAATCACATCTGCAATGTCTTTTGCCCCAAGCTTGTAACTGATGTTGATGCGGGGCAATTGGGGGGGGGGCAAATTGGGACCATTACTCTGTTTTGTTTCTTTTAATGCCATTTTCTGGCAGCTGCAGCTAAGCTAGCTGATATCTCCTTTCCATTTGCTTAGAGGCAAAACTTAGGATTTACTTCCTGTGAAAGAGGATAGTCTTTTCCAATTCCAGCCAAGAAGAGATTTGCTGCTCTTTCAAAAATAACAAAATATTTTAGGTCAGAACTTTTTTCACAAACCATCCAAATGGAAATATACCATTCTAGAAGTCTGTTCAAAGCAATCTACCCTTGCTTGGTTAGAATCACCTAATACAGTGTTAGATGTTTACATTTTGCATACGTCTATTTAAAAAAATACAATATTGCATATTTCTATGAAATATCAAATACTGAATTGAGCTGAAGTACAGAAATATGTGCATTATATTCTTGATTATGAAGGCCTTCATTGTATGAATATTACTTGTTGCTTTGGGCTGTTGGCCATTTGATTGCAAAGTTTTAAATTTCCAAATACCATTAAAACCAATTGTTGCGCTGCTAGCAGTGCACATTCAATTGATTGATCAGAGATTTATTTACTTTTCTTTCTCTTTATCCATGACAGGTCTCCAGTAATATTTTTGTTTCTTTGTAAATGAGATGCAATATTTCTTCCCTTATTAAGAATTGTTCCTTCCTTTAGCTCAAATCACCAACTGCTCTAGCAAAAACTTTTCCCCCAGAAATAATTACTTCCTTGCTCTAAGTCTGCCTTCTCCAACAAGAGAAGCTCTTTTCAGAATGAAGCCTTTTAACTATAGAAGTTTTTTTGCTTTCTTTTTTTCAAAAAGGAAAGTGATTTGGAACAGAAATCTTTCTTTGTGTGTCTCTGTCTCTGTCTATCTGTCTGTCTCCTCCCTCCCTCCCTCTCTCTCTCTCTCTCTCTCTCTCTCTCTCTCTCTCTCTCTCTCTCTCTCTCTCACACACACACACACACACAGACACACACCTACAATCTTTAAAAGCAAATTATCCATGTTGCAGGTATAGCTATGTATCTGTTAGGCTCATATCTACATGATATATAACAGAAATATTTATTGGTTTTCCAGTCTTTCAGTCACACTGAACTTCACAGTCTCTAAAATCTTGGCAAAGAAATATCTGGCAATAAAACTAAAAGGGTTTCTTTTTTCTTTGGGTTGTCTTTTAAAGGTAAACTTAAAAAATTCTATGGATTCTCAGAGAATAAAAATAAAAGAGTTATCTGCTGAAGCCTGCAAAAACTGTGCTAAAATCAGGACTGTATTGGCTATTGCGTTAAGCTTGAGCAAGCAAAGCAAGCAAGGTTACATAGGAGAAACACCATACCTAATTTCACAAAACTGTGATTAAACTTTGCCTGAAGTCATTTCCTTCTCCTCAGAGATTTCACTTGAAACTGTACTACATTGCTTTAGGGGAAAAGGTTCAGAGGAGCTGCTTTTGGTTTAGCAACTTACATTAATCCTTTTGGCTCTCATTTATTTGGGTGAGGGGGTGGAGGGAACTGGAAGGAAGCAGGAAAACGTGTAGTAGAAGGCTATGTTCAGATTTAAGCTATTTAACTCATAGATCTTATTCTACCTCAAAAGCTTTTTGCTAATATATTAAAAATGCTAGCAGTGATTTTTATTAGCAGGGTCAATGTATTATCTTTAAACAATACATGTGTATTTTTTGTGTACAATGCATATAAACAAAAAATAATTTCAAGAAATCTAGATTTCTTCTCCTAGGTTTCAGCAGAATGTAGGAATATAGTATGGGGTTAAACTGTGTATGAAACTAGAGTTGCTATCCAAGTGTTGCATGCACACTTCTGTTTCCAGTTTTCCATGTCTCTTGTGTATTATACCATACCTTTTAAATCATCATGTGCAGTGGCATCATTCTCATCTGTTTTCCTAATTCCTGGGAGTATTCAGTACAAATTCTCTATTTAGTGTGGTAATCATTGAACAGCACATTACTTTGTTAAATATCCAAACTTTGCTGCAGTTTGCAACCACTAGGGAAACTTTAACTTCTCCACCCCGATGATTTTGGCTGCGCTGAAAATACTATAAGGGAAAATAACAGCTGTGTTGAGCTCACTGGGGATAAAAGCCCACAGCCTCCTTAAAGCAGCAAGCTCAGTGCAATTGAAGGTACCATTTCTTCTCAGCATTGGGACATACACTGCAGAGCTGGGAAAACATATCACTTCCCCATTTTCCTTAAGGAAAGACGCTTCTCCAGATTCCACTCTAGTCTGTTGAAGGAACGGCTAACCAGGATCCAACTTCAGATTTGAGAAAGAATAGCAAACTGTCAAAAACCTATTTTGAATGTACTAACCAGAATGAAGAGAGAGGAAGTATTCCTTTCTCTTGCAAACAGCTGAGGACTGACTCATAGACACCTACGCTGTAATGGGAGCTGAACAAGAAAGAGTAAAAAAGAAGCAACTTAAGAGGTCAAGGGGGATGAGGTGTTTGGGGAATCAGTGCAAAAGAATGTTGCCTGACAGCTTAAGAAAATTATGTTGCTCCAAAATAAGCATTTTCTCCTCACCAGTAGGATCTTAGCTTTATGTAGAACATGTGTGACAGACTGTGAGGGAGTTTGTTGATAGTAACCCCGAAACCATCATGATGTTATTGTTTTGCTGCATTAGATCCCCTTCATAGATATAACAAACTTAATATTGTCCGGCAAGATTCCAAGTGCATNAAGAAGAAGAAGAAGAAGAAGAAGAAGAAGAAGAAGAAGAAGAAGAAGAAGAAGAAGAAGAAGAAGAAGAAGAAGAAGAAGAAGAAGAAGAAGAAGAAGAAGAAGAAGAAGAAGAAGAAGAAGTTGGAAGGGACCTTGGAGGTCATCTAGTCCAACCCCCTGCTCAGGCAGGAAGCCGTATATCATTTCAGACAAATGGCTGTCCAGTCTCTTCTTAAAATCTTCCAGTATTGGAGCATTCACAGCTTCTGGAGGCAGGTTGTTCCACTGATTAATTGTTCTAACTGTCAGAAAATTTCTCCTTAGTTCTAGGTTGCTTCTCTCTTTGTTTAGTTTCCATCCATTGCTTCTTGTTCTGCCTTCAGGTGCTTTGGAGAATAGCTTGACTCCCTCTTCTTTGTGGCAGCCCCTGAGATATAGTAGCGGTTCATAGTCCTTCCATGGTGACACTCTAGAAAAACAAAACAGTTGTAAGCTTTCATATTAAAATGGATATTCCAATACCCCAGTCACCAAGAGAATATTTTTGCACTGAAATAAAATATTGTAAATATTGTTTGAAAGAAGCCTCTTTGATTTCAGTGGAACTTATACTTAAGCAATTTGGAAGGGTGCAGAAATCTGAAACTTGCAGAATATATTGAGGGACATATTTCCTTTCTCCTAGCTCACATCTTTAAAGCCTCATCATTCAATCCAAGCTAGTAAGCACATTAAAAATGGGGGAAAGATTGTGTCTATTGCACCAAAATAAAATTATTCCAAAGCAGCTTCACATACACTCAATTTTTAGAAAGATAATGAAAATTATTTAGTAGCCAAATCAAATTGTTTTTATGTTCCTGCATAAAATTGCAAACCAGAAACCAAAATAAGTGGTGCTTAATTTGAATTCAAGGGCAAAAGCCTATTGTTTATATGTCTGTTATATTATTGCAATGAATTGTTGCAATTTGTCAAAAAAAATTTTTTACTATCTCTCAATTGTAAGAGGCAAAGTTACAAAGTTGGATAAAACTCCAATGGTTTGCATTCAGTTGATAAATAACAGGAGACTGTTTACCCATTGTGAAAGTTTGTTTCATACTGGATTAGTGCCGTTTATCTGCTGGGGCAGTAAAAGCTTCAAAAAAATTTGGCAGGGAGGCTGATTTCTGCAATTAGGCACCCTTTGTAATTGTCCTGGTTTGCTTTTGAATGATCCAATTCGAGCTCCCTACTGAAGATATGAAGCTGTGTACACCTGTTTTGTGTTTCAGAGTTCATTTCAAAGACGATGATGCAACAGGGAAGAGATTCAGGAGGATGGGAGCAATTTAACTAACTCACTACTATAATTTGCAACAACCAACCACTATTCCTCTGCTCCTTGAGCAAATCAGACTTAAGTTATTTTTAAGTATCAGTTTAAAACTGTATTTACCTTAATTCTTCCATCATATTAAACAAGTTAGACTTCAGGTCATGACTCAATCAGAATTGTAATTGGTACACAAGCAGTCTTATTTTATGGAAACAATATAATTTTTTAATGAAAAGAAATGCTTCACAAAATTGCAGACACTGTATAGCAATCATACTAAAGACAGTGTATAGAATCAGGAAGCTCTGTCAGCAAAGTAGGAAGAACTTGTATTCATTTTCAAATTGTAGTTGTAGCCTCAGTTTCAGTAGGTTCTTTTACTGAGCGATGTCCAAATGTTAATCCGTTTTAAATAACTCAATATTTGTTTCTAAATAGGCTTCACGTATTTCTACAAAGGCAAAGAATACTGGAAATTCAACAATCAAATGCTCCGGGTGGAACCGGGATATCCCAGATCTATCCTCAAGGATTTTATGGGCTGTGATGGACCAGCAGACCGGGACAAAGAGCGACACAGCCCTCAAGATGATGTAGACATTGTCATCAAACTGGACAACACAGCCAGCACTGTGAAAGCTATAGCCATTGTCATTCCTTGCATACTGGCCCTGTGCCTCCTTGTCTTGGTTTACACTGTGTTCCAATTCAAGAGGAAAGGAACACCCCGCCACATACTTTACTGCAAACGCTCTATGCAAGAGTGGGTGTGATGTAGGAATATTTTTTTTCTTCTTTTCTCCCAGGAGTAGTGGTAACATGAAATCCAACAAAAGAGCTGTTACGGAGTTTCCTACCAAGGAACAGGCCTGTCTGTCTCAGCCAGGGATGATCTTTAAAATCCAGGGGGCTGCTTGTCCTGCACATGAGTGAGAATTTTCTCCAGTAGGAAGCTTCAGTCATACACAGTACCTGCCATTTCTCCAGTTCTTCGTCTGTCTTTGTCATTCAATTCCAGCCTTTCCTCTGCACGCTCAATATACCCAATGCAAAACAATCAGGATATTCATAAAAAAGAGCAACATGAAAAAAGAAGAATCTCTGACATCCCAGTTGGGTCTTTCTTTCTTTCTTTCTTTCTTTCTTTCTTTCTTTCTTTCTTTCTTTCTTTCTTTCTTTTTTCTTTCTTTCTTTCTTTCTTTCTTTCTTTCTTCTCTTTGAAAGAGTTTTGTGTGATGTTAAAAAAAAAAAAAGAAAACATATAAGCATTTTTTTAAAGAGAAAAGATAGAGCAACTAAAACACAACAATCACAATGGAACTTTCAGGAAGTGTGAAGATCCAAAACAGCTTTGTCTCCAAAGAGGATTGCTTTCTGTCAGCTACAGATATAGTCCTATACTCCGACACATAATTTTTATCAAGTGGGAGATCAGGATGACATACAGGAATTCTGACTGTTTGGACAGCCATTTTCCAACAAACAAGGGGCCAAAATATCTGCAATATAGTAACAGCCTTAATAATATATTCATTTTGTGTTTTATACAATTGTTCAGAGCTATGTCCTCAATGTTTTCACACAGTTATATTCATCACTGTATTCAGAGAGTATTCTTTTTACTGATTGGTTTAGCATTTATTGGTTTCTTGCCTCTCCACTTCCTCTTTTCTCCAGAATTGTATCAGGCAAGTTAGTCCCAGGCTTTTCAGAAACCTTATTTTGAAATCAGACTAGAAAGCAGCAAGTTCCAGAAATAAGAATGCAATCAAATAACATTAAAAGTTACTGAGAAACATAAGACTAGTGTTAGGTTTATATAATCAGTGACTCTTTGAGAACTATCAGACCAGTTTTCAGTGTGAAAAATAATATTGATTGAAATGGTAATAGTGCACAGATTCTGCTTTTACTTAAAGATAACACCCTATAACTCATAAACCAGATCTACAGAGCCCTCAATGCCATTGCTATCTTCTCCCATCACTGTTGCTTCTAGTGTGTTTCCAGGACAAAGTAGGTGGTCCTGGCTGGCACATTTTCTTATGATACTTCATAGTAGCATAATGAAGAGGAAGCCAGAATGGGTTTGGCAGTGGACAAGTGGATTTGCAGATAATGGGAGGCAGTTGTTAGCCCTGGGATTGAATAAGCCCATCGCAATTCTAGACAGAACACTGAAATAACAGTGTGGGCTATTTCTAGTAAATAGCCACATTGGGGATAGTAAAATAAAAGGTAACTATGGACTTGCCAGTTGATTTCTGGGTTTATTTATTTATTTTTAATTGTCATACCGAATGTGTAGTGACAGTTCTTCAACATTGCCTCCTTGTCTTCAGCTGGTGCTATGCCAAGCCATTTTAACAGTCTCCTACGTCTCTGCTGCTCTTTTTCTCCCAACACTATTGATCTCATTATTGGTAGACCCCATGGGTCCCATTAACAAATAATGAGCTTCCCTTACACTCTTGAAAAATGGGTGTGTGAACTGTTGTTGTTGTTTTTTTTAAAAAAATATATCTGCCAGCAAACATGGCAGAGCACTTGATGAATGGCATTACGTTCTTATCATGCAAGTGACCTTTTCTTTGGTACTGTGCTTGGAGGACCATGCATCGTACCATTGTGAACCACAGTAGGCAGAATGGAACACTTGGCTGCAGTTTGGCTGGAGACAGATACATATAATTTTCAGCAATTCAAAGATCGTATGTTAGCAGGAGGCAATACTGTCTATGGATTACATTGTCTCTGCTCACTAGTTTTGTGGGGCTTTTTTGTGCTGAGCTCTGTTGATTAGAAATAACAGCAGTATAACAGGGATGAATAGAAAAGAAAGCGACGCTGCTGGAAACAGTCCTTCTACCACATTACCTTCAGTTTTCATGCCTCCAGCCTAAGAGCAATAGGAAAATGGGGTTTAATTGTGGGACTAGATGGAACTCTTCTATGTAACAATTGGCTTCATTTTTATTTTTTAAAAAGCTTGTATTTTTAAGTTTTTTTGGAATATTATTCTGCATGAATACAGAAGTTGCTTTTGAATATGGACACTTATAGGCATAGTTAACCCTATTAAGGAGAAAAGAAAGCAACATCTGATACTGCCTGGGTGCTGTTTCACTTTCCCTCCTGTTCACAAAATGTGGTCATTTGGTATTCGTCTTAGTTCTCAAAGGGTTGGCAAGACCTCTGGCATTTAGCTGTGCACTAAATCATGGAAAGAACCCAGGGGACTACCTGGCATTATGTCATCTTATGTAATTTTATGCTAACAGCAGTATTGTCATTTTCATGTGACCTGCAGAGCAGGTTATATATTAATATTTTTTTCCTAGAGAAAGTCAGCAACTGACAGACCTCTTTTATTGATTTTAGGAGCTGCTTCTTGCAGTGACAAGCTTTTTACAGTCACTGGGCTGTGAATTTATGAAAAGTTTTCAGAAAGAATGCACCCCACTAGCTAGATACCTGACTTTTTATGAAAGCTAGGATTCCAGGGAGGTAGCTTTTGATACAATGAACAGCTTGCCTTGAACTTCATTGATCTGTTGATTGTCATTATTGAGTTAAACATTGTCTTCTGTGAAAAAAGAGAAAAAAAACGCTGTCTGAATTTCCTTACTGTGTACTATTTGATTTCTTTGCTCTTTGACCTTTAACTTGCAAACTGGCACAAGCTGAATGGGAAATAAGATGTTCCCAAACATTTTGGATTGGGACTACATTTTTACAAGAAAAAACAAGCCTAATGTATGTTGTCTGAATTCATCTGTTCCATTACAGAAGAGCAAAGGGTGAGAAGTCCTTCTTCTAGCTGGAATAGATGCAGACAATATGATCTTATTCCTGCTTAGTTCCCACTGACTCCATTGGGAGAGAATTTTTCAATGGAATGTGCCCAGCATTAGTAACTGGTACAAGGGGAATGGAAAAATTGCTATGTATACATGCACACTCTAATAATGAGCTACAGTAGACAAATTTCTATTTAATTTTGATAAAATGTTTCATGTGAAACCAGTCCTTTCTACATATGATTTGTTTTAAATGCATTCTAAAATGCATACAAATACTAAAATACTTGAAAACAGCCATCATTGACAAGTATGGGTTCATGTGTGTGTATATACACAAACACACACATGAATATACTATGGTTAAAAACAATTTCTTACTAATTTCCTAATCCACATTACCAAATCATTTTATAGAGAGTGTAAGTATATATACGTATTATTTTTTGGTAATGACTAGCTGGACTGCCTTGAATTTATATTTCTATTGAGTACAGCATGAAGATTAGTATTATTCAAATAAACATGATTTGGGGTTTTGGTTTTTATTCTGAATCGAGGGTTTATTTTGTAAAGAAAAGAGGCATGTAATACAGGATTGCACAGACAACACCCCCATCAGCATAAACAAATTGATGAATGAATGACAGAATGAAAGACAAAACAATTCTTAGTTTATAGCACATATGCATTGCAAATGGAGGTTTGATATGCAGTATTCTAACGATTGTGAGACCATTATATATCCAGTTATATCTAACTCGGCTGATGGTGCATTACATGACTTATGTATAGTGAACAGATCCCAGAGGTCTCCATTTCCTTACCCTTCTCTTTCAAAATATATCAGTTAAGTGGGAAAAGCGTTATAATTTTCTATCAGCAATCAGCTCTGCTACTGGCTAAGATGTATTTTTTTCCCTTTTGTCTCAAGCTCTCTTGTGCTTAACTGCAGCTAAAATAATTAAACTATATTGGTTGTATTTAACTGTAGCCAATATTTTGGTTTGGAGTTCATCATATGAATGAGTCTACTTTGAGTTTGGATCCAATCCATAAAATTTATATGCTATTTCAAGAGATTAAAAGTGAATGCTGATACTTATATATTAAGACAGGTGTTTGCAGACAGGTTTGGTGAATATCCAAAACTTTGGACACATCAATTGAAGCTTCCTATAAGTAATTGTCAGCATTGACTGATCTGTATTTGGAAAATGGAAACATAGATATATTATGAACATTCACAAAACTGACAGATGGATAACAGTCAATAAAATTTGCATCTTCACGGTTATTTATCCATTACTTTAATATAAGACAACAAACAATATTTATTCCCCTATTCATTTAAATGTTTCATTTCCCTTTCAGATTTCCTTTAAAAAAGGAAAGAAGGAGAAAGAATGCAGCCATTTTTTTTAAATAAGGGAAAACCAATATTTGCATTTGGTGGAGTTATACAATAGTTTTACAAAAAGTTAAGGGTAATAATGTATAGTGCTGGATATAATATGAATCCATAAATATGGTGGGGGGGAATTGGACATACCTTTGTCATAGAAGGCAAACTTATGTCACCTTTTCTTTTCTTTTATAAAGCAATCAATTGATATTTTTCCCTCTCTTGTAAACCCTGTATTTAAATTAATTTTTATCTTCACTTCCACAGACATGGGGATGTATATAAGTTCAGTATAAGGGTGTAAATTTATTGAGAAATTGAAACCTTATGAGATAAAAAGCAAAATATTACATTCCAGAAAAAAAATGGATTTTTTTTTTAAAAAGACAGATTACTTCACTAAACTTTTGGTAAGAAATTGAAGAAAATTCCAATTTTAGAAATAAAAAGTAGCACTGATTTTTGAATAAATCCTTTATTTTGAATAAAAATCCAAATGTTCCTTTATAGATGAGACTAATTTCATCACATATACAATGTGGACAATGTGTAAATCAATGTCACTTCATAACACATAATATA